GTGAATGGGGGGTGCTGAGAATGAGGAGAGGTGCTGTGTGAGGCCCGTGATGGGGGTGGGGTGAGGGTGGAGGCAGGTGACGGGGGGGTGGGCAAGTGGTGACAGACTGCTTCAGAGCAGACAGTGGCCTGCTGAGGAGGTGGCATTAAAATTGAACCAGAGAAAGCTGTGTGTCTTGTGCAAAGGTCCTGAGGCAGAGACAAACTTGCTATGTTTGTGAGGCAGAAAATAGACTAGTTGGGAGAGGAGAGGGTGGGGAGGCCAGCAGGGCAGGTTGAGGGCAGGAATTTGGGCTTAATTCTGGGGGATCCGTTGGAGGGTTGGAAGCCCTGAAGAGACATGGTCCACGATTGGGTAGCCTTTTCAAAGCTGTTGGAGTGACAAGGAGGTCAAGCAGGAAGGCAGGGAGGCGTCCCTCCAGGCAGGAGATGGAGTGCCTTGAGCCAGCGGGGTGAGAGGTGGATGGGACGCGCTGCGAGGCAGCAGGACGGGGCTCCTGGAGAAGCAGGGTGTAGGGAGGGAGGAACCGAGGACTCTGCTCTCTGCCTGAGCCGCTGTGGTCTCAGGAGCCCTGGACCGAGGTGGGGTGGGGGGGAGCAGGTCTGGGGTTGGGAGCCCGCGGTGTGGTGCACGTTGGCCGTCGCAGGAGGCAGATGCATGTGGGACTTGGGCTCGGGTGCAGCCAAGCTGGTGGGTTTGCCCTGCTGCGAGTGCTGCGGGTTCCTTGAGAGTGGGGTAGGGGGCTGTTGTAAGTGGCCTTAAGATGCTGGCCTCACGGGACCGTCTTCCCTCTTTGCCTGAGAAAGCCACAGGGGTGAGCATGTGGGCTGGTTTTTAGCTTCTCTGGTTGAAGGAACAGGTTCCACCGAAGCCCGAGGAGCCCCCAGGAGGGAGGGTTGTCTGCCCCCCGGCCTCCCCAGGTCCTCACTGCTCAGGACTCTTGGGTCCTTAGCAAGCGCGAGCAGGCCCCAGCCTCAAGGGAGCGTGAGCCCCTGCCTGCGAGCCACAGGCCACCCCTCCCAGGGCCAGGCAGTGCCAAGGCCGGCGTGCGGGCCCCACTTACAAGTGGCCAAAGGGAACTGGGTTTCCCGTAAGCTGGGTGGAAGCGCAGGCCCGACGGGTGTACCAGCTCTTGCCCCGGGCCTCGGGGGCCCCCAGAAGGGAGGCCTGGGACTCCAAAGCCGGTATCGCTGCTTCAGGTTAGGGGCCCTGACCCTGCCGAGTGGGCCTGCGGGCCGGAGGGCCTCGTGGACCTGGGGCCAGGCAGACAGGGTCTGAGCTCCCCCTCAGCTCCAGCCAGGCTCGGGTCTCTTGGGGTTTTCAGAATCAGAATTGTAATGAACCCCCATCTTTGAATGTTGGACGCCAAATCGACATACGTGTTTATGGGGAGTAGACAGGCAGGCCACCTGAGTCCTGGGCCCCCCCAGCTGCCACACCCAGGCCGTGTCCCCTCCTTCGGGGGGTGCTGCTCCAGCCTAAGAACTGTTATCCTGCCCCAGCGAGCCAGGAGCAGATGCATCCCTGCGGCTCTTCTGACTCCTTGCCCACCCCCGTGCCCCGTCTGCTGCCCCGGGGGAAGGGAGGAACAGGGCTGCGCCCCAAGAGGCGGTCTGCATGCTGCAAGGACCCTGCTTGGAGCAAAAGGGTCTGGGCCCTGGCCCTGGGCTCCCTGCAGGCCACATGTCTTCGCACACGTGCTTGAGCACACACAGGTACAACATACAGACACATGCACACACACACGCGCACGCGGATGCACGTAAGCACACACATGCGTGCTCACACATGCACGCGGCAGACCTCCCGCAGCTACCGGGACCTCTCTCTGCAGACATCCTGCAGTACTACCTGGCCTGCTCGCCCCGTGCCGCCAACCCCTTCCAGCAGGTGAGTGCTCGGGCTCCTCCTGCCCCTGGGAGGCTGCAGCCCCGATGTCTGCAGCCCCTCGGCCCCTCTCAGACGTCATTACACCCTAGGACCCGAGGAGCTGTTGGGGGGCAGCTGGATGAATGCCATGTTGACATCACCAACTGCCTCTGGGGTTAGCGCCCTGGTGCCCTCGGTGCGAGTCTTTCGGGGTGGACTGCTTAATGCCGCCCAAATACCTGGGATTCCTTTCAGTTCTTGGGTTGCCTGTGGCCATCCTGCAGGGCAGAGCCAGCCGTCTGGCAGGCGTGGAGGGGCCCAGGGATGCCTCACCACGGGAGGGGTCCGGGGCCCGCTGTGGAATAACTGGGCACGTGTCATGGTAGGGTTTGGAGGGAAACGCTTTGGCCCACTGCCTGTCACTGCACACGATTGCACGGCCCTCAGGGGTCCTGGAGAACTACCCCTTTGAAGTCATCGTGCTTTCGGAATCTGTCTTACCTCTGCGCGTGTGGGCAGCCTCGCGGGGACCAGGGAGCAGCTTCCCCGAGGGCGCCCCCAGGGCCCCGGGCCCGCCCGAGCTGGGTGTGCGTGGGGCTGGGGGAGGGGGCTGCCCCGGCTGGAATCAGCCAGCCTCTCTGTGGAGCAGAAGCTGTCTGGCAGCCACAAGGCGCTGGTGGAGATGCAGGACGTGGTGGCTGAGCTGCTGAAGACGGTCCCCCGGGAGTCCCCGGCCACCAAGGTGAGTGGGCCACACGGTGAGCAACGCCCGCCCCGGCGCCCCCAGCTCAGGCGGCCTCCTGGCGGGACCCTGCCGGGGGTCCACCCCTCTCTCCCACCCTTTACGGAGAGGCTTCTCCTCCCCTCCGTTAGCCCTTCATTGCCCTGGGGGCTTGGGGTAGGTTTCTAAAAATAATTCTGCTCTTTATTTTAAAAGTAATACAAACTCTTCAAATTAAAAAAATAAAAAGGGAAGATGAGGACAGATGTAGTAACAAAGTAAGGTCTGCCCCCCACCCTTGGGGGTGTTCCAGGAACTGGGGGGGCGGCGGCTTTTCCCCTGCGGTGTTCTGGGGCCTGAGCATTCCGTCCACACATCTGTTACCTTGCTCCTGACGAAGCCCAGCGTCCTGGGGGAGGGGGGTCAGCCTGCGGGGGCCCTGCCCGTGCGCGCACCTCCGCAGAGCGCGGGGGGCCGTCCATGCGCACGGCTGGGCTCAGGCTCCTCTCGTGACCAGCTGGACCTTCTGTAACAAGCTGTTCACAAAATTTGAGTTAAAAAAAAGATGGACACGTAAACACACATATTAAAGTTACTTCCTATTATTATTTCTGTTTGGGCCAGAGCTCCTCTGGGTATTTTGCGAGTGAGTGGGGAGGTAACCGGGGCCGCCACAGCGGAGCTCCGCACACTGGGGGCACTTAGACAGCAGGGACTCACTCCCTCACGCGCCAGAGGCTGGAAGTCACCGTGATCGAGGCCAGGCGTGGGCTGGGCTGGCATGTCCTGAGGCCTCTGTCCGTGGCATGTAGATCTCCCCATGTGTTCTCCCCGTGTCCTCGTGTGGTCGTCCCCTTGGGCCTGTCTGTGGCCCCGACCCCTTCCTCTTATAGGACGCCAGTCCCGTGGGATGGGCCCCCTGCCTCGTGACCTCTTCTTGCCTTAATTACCTCCTGAAAGCCCCCGCCAACAAATACAGCCCCGTTCTGAGGTATTTAGGGTTAGGAATGCAACATATGAATTTGGGGGGGGACACAATTCAGCCCCTGTTGGTGAGTTATGTTATCCTGGGATCCACTTCAGAATCACAGGGCGCTCTTCGAACATGCACCACGTAACGCAGTGTTGGGTCCAGCGGCTGGTCTAGAGGCAGCCCCATCAACCCCGAAGAGTTTCTGTGAGGTCATCTTTCCGGGGACAGGATGTGGGGAGAGGTCCCCGTGCGCGCACACCCACACACTACAGGACCGGGCTTGCTCTATACAGAGCATTTGGATAACGTTTTGTCACTTAAAATACCATGAAAATTTTCCCTTTAACTGTTCTTTAAAGTAAGATTTTTAAGAGGACCAGGCCCCCGTCAGGAGCTACGTGGGTATTTGCTGTCTCTCCTGTTTTGACAGGCATTCGTGGGTCCCACTTTCCCCTGTATACTCCTGTCCTCAAGAGTCCCTCCGAGGCCAGGACACAGACTCTGGCCATCATTTCTAGAAGCCCAGGGTCCTCAGGGTCTGTGCCAAGACCACAGGGTCAAGGGTGGTCTTGATGGTGGAGTGTGGGTGGATGGGTACCCAGAAGGCTCCCAGAGGACCTATGCCTGCCTTGGGCCCGCCCCCCGACTGTGGTACTGACCTTGTGTGCTATGTCCCCCCCACCCCCAGGACCCCTTGCTGCGTGTCCAGGAGGTGCTGAACGGCACAGAGGTGAACCTGCAGCATCTCACCGCCCTGGTGGACTGCCGCAGCCTGCATCTGGTGGGAACCAGACTCTGGAGCCAGGGCACGGCAGCTGGGGAGCAGGGTGCAGCTGGGGGAGTTGGGAACAGAAGGGAGCAGCTGCGGGGCTGGGGCAGAGGGTGCAGCAGGGGGGATGGGGGCAGAGGGAGCAGCTGGGGGGATGAGGGCAGAGGGTGCAGCAGGGGGGATGGGGGCAGAGGGTGCAGCAGGGGGGATGGGGGCAGAGGGTGCAGCGGGGGGCTGGGGGGCAGAGGGTGCAGCTGTGGGGGCAGAGGGTACAGCTGGGGGGCTGGAGGGCAGAGGGTGCAGCTGGGGGGCAGAGGGTGCAGCTGTGGGGGTGGGGACCTGGAGATGGGAGATCACCCATGGGTGGCTGGCCCGAAGCCCAGTCTGGCGCCGGGGTGGTCAGGCCACTAGCAGTGGGCTGGGCTGAGGCCCTGGCATGTCCTGTCTCACCCTGCCTTCCCTGTCTCTCTCCTGGTCTCTGTGGGCCATGCTGCCCCGTGCTGTCCCTGTGCTGTGTGGCCTCAGGACTACGTGCAGGCCCTGACGGGCTTCTGTTACGATGGCGTTGAGGGCCTCATCTACCTGGCTCTCTTCTCCTTCGTCACGGCTCTCATGTTCAGCTCCATCGTCTGCAGCGTCCCCCACACCTGGCAGCAGAAAAGGTGAGGGGCTCAGAGCTCACCCCAGGCCACACCGCAGGCAGGATGTTTTAGGGACATGCCTTCTGGACACCCGTATCCTCGTCCCCAGAGACAGGAGCAAATGCCTCCTGACCTCCTGACACTCTCTGTAAGCCTCTGCAGTGCTTGGAGGCTGGTGAGTCCGCGGTGAGCAGCCCCATTTCATAGATGGGAAACAAGTCTACAGGAGCTCCCAGCCCAGGTGACATGTGAGGCCAGAGCAGGGGGGTGGAGCCAGGTCTCCTGCCCACCCGCACCAGCTCCATGCACCGCGCCCTTCCACACCTCTGGCTGGCCTCGGGATGTCTCCTCCGTCCCCTTGCCCCTCGGCGTGCATGTGCAGGGCTTGTGCGTGGAAAGAGCAGCTGTCCAGTTGTGGGGACTGGGAGCTTCTGCAGGGAGGGAGGGCCCCAGATGGCTGTGGCCTCCATGGCCCATTCAGCTGGGTGACCGGGATGGCAGCTACTTCCCAAGGGGCAGTTAGGTCCTTATCTTTGAAGTGGGGGTCCTGGCAGCTCCTTCCTCAGTCTCCCTGATCAGTACTGGGTTGAGTGGTGTATTTAGAAGCCAAGCCCCTTCCCTTGCTTGGGCCCTTACACTTCATCTCCCAGACTCACCACCTCCCCTCCCATTGGGCTGTGGCTGCACCTTGGTGGCCCAGATCAGATGACAGGTAGCTCAGCTCTGATCTCTTCCCTCTGTCTGGATTTCTGCTCTGTTGTTTTCTGTGGTGATGCTGCCAGTGGTGATGATGATGGGGATGATGATGGTGGTGATGATGGTGGTGATGATGATGGGGGCAGAGGGTGCAGCAGGGGGGATGATGATGATGGTGATGATGGTGATGGTGATGGTGGTGGTGATGATGGTGATGGTGGTGATGGTGATGGTGATGGTCGTGATGGTGATGGGGTGATAATGGTGATGGTGATGGTGGTGATGATGGTGGCTGTGATGGTGATGATGATGATGGTGATGATGGGGGCAGAGGGTGCAGCAGGGGGGATGATGATGATGGTGATGATGGTGATGGTGATGATGGTGATGGTGGTGGTGATGGTGGTGGTGATGGTGGTGATGGTGGTGATGATGATGATGGTGGCGGTGATGATGGTGGTGATGATGATGATGGTGATGAGGTGATGGTAGTAACGGTGATGGTCACAATGATGGTGATGATGGTGTTGATGGTCATGATGACGGTGATGGTGATGATGGTGGTGGTGATGGTGGTGATGGTGATGGTGGTGGTGATGATGGTGGTGATGGTAGTAACGGTGATGGTCACAATGATGGTGATGATGGTGTTGATGGTCATGATGACGGTGATGGTGATGATGGTGATGATGATGGTGATGGTGATGGTGGGGGAGGTCATGATGTTGGTGATGGTGGTGATGGTGGTGGTTGTGATGGTGATGATGATGATGGTGATGATGGGGGCAGAGGGTGCAGCAGGGGGGGATGATGATGGTGATGATGGTGATGGTGATGATGATGGTGATGGTGATGGTGGTGGTGATGATGGTGGTGGTGATGGTGGTGATGATGATGATGGTGATGGTGGTGATGATGGTGATGATGGTGGCGGTGATGGTGGTGATGGTGATGATGATGGTGATGGTGGTGATGGTGATGATGGTGGCGGTGATGATGGTGGTGATGATGATGATGGTGGTGATGATGGTGGTGATGGTAGTAATGGTGATGGTCACAATGATGGTGATGATGGTGTTGATGGTCATGATGACGGTGATGATGGTGATGGTGATGGTGGTGATGGTGGGGGAGGTCATGATGTTGGTGATGGTGGTGATGGTGGTGGTGATGGTGATGATGGTGATGGTGGTGGTGATGGTAGTAACGGTGGTGGTCACAATGATGGTGATGATGGTGTTGATGGTCATGATGATGGTGATGGTGGCAGTGGTAATAAAGATGGCAGCTATAGGGAAATGGCTAAGAGGATAGACCTGGAACCGTGTGGCTTGGACTTCAGATTTTTGCTTATTGGGTGACCATGGGCAAGTCACTTAATCACTCTGGGCCTCCATTTCCCTAACTGTGAAATGGGGGTTGGAAGAGCACACCCCTCTTGGGGTCGGGTAGGCACTAGGTGAACCATTCCGTGTAAGGGCTTAGCCGTGGGTTTGGCTGGTAATTGACGCTCAGCCAGTTGCTACCCCTGTCCTGCTTGTCTCACTGCAAGGGGCCCAGAGGGAGGCCCTCTGCTCCAGGTCCCCCAGCTGGTGGTCGGGAGGTGGGACGTGAGCCCAGGCCTGGCAGGCCTGTGCCATTACCACCGGGCAGCCTGGCCCTAGGTCTGATCTGGAAATAGGCAGGACATGATGAGCCTTGAGCGTGCCCGAAGCCTGGCCCCTGGCTCCCTTGCCTCGCCCTGTGGCAGCCTGAACGGAGCGGACAGAAAGCCAGAGCGCAGCAGAGCAGGAGGACTGGGCTCAGGCCTCCTGGGACGGACAGTCCCTGTGGGCTCAGGCCACCCAAAGGTGCAGGCTGGGACCTGCAGGGCTGGAAGAGGGCACCTCCATTTCCAGGCCCCCAGCCCTCTCTGCTCCCCCGAGGAGGGGCCATGCCCCCTTCCCCTGAAGGCAGACAGCATCCCTGTGTACAAGGCTGAGGGTCAGGGTCCCTGGCATCCCCGTCTCACGGGGGACGAAACCAGGGTGACTTGCCCACGGTGCCATAGGCCATCCGTGACCAAGCCAGGATTGGAACGAGGTGCGTCTGCCTCCGAGCTGGCCCCGCACGGGCCTCGTGGTGGCTGCCATGGGCCAGGGTGTAACCTGTGCTGGGGGTCCGTCCCTGCAGAGGCCCCGACGAGGACGGGGAGGAGGCGGCGGCCCCAGGGCCGAGGCAGACACACGACAGCCTCTACCGTGTGCACATGCCCAGTCTGTACAGCTGCGGGAGTAGCTACGGCAGCGAGACCAGCCTCCCAGCTGCGGCCCACACCGTCAGCAACGCCCCGGTCACCGAGTACATGTGAGCTGTGCCCGGAGCTGGGGGCGGGGGCGGGGGCCTCAAGACCGCAGGGTCACGCGAGAGGGCGCTCCCCACCCCTGGTGCTGCCCAGGCTGCCGCTGCGGTCGTCCAGGCAAACCTGGGCCGTGGCCCCAGTAAGACCACTCTGTCAGAGGGAGGCTGGGTCTAGGCGCGGGGATGCCGTGGCTGAGGGCGGGCGCTGGCCACGTGGTGAGCGGGCCTCCGGGCGGGGTGGGGCTGGGCTGCCCCAGGCCCTTGCTAGTGGGCTGCGTGCAGGCCGGTGATGAGGAGGCCCAGGGTCGGAGGTGGGTGGCAGAGCAGGGTGGGCACGGGCGTCTGCCTGGCTCCGGAGCGGCCCCGGACGGGTGCTGGGCCTGCCGAGGCTGGCCGCTGCTCACAGCCCTCTCTCCTCACTGTGCAGGAGCCAGAATGCCAACTTCCAGAACCCCCGCTGTGAGAACACCCCCCTCATCGGGCGCGAGTCCCCGCCGCCCTCAGTAAGTCTCAGGCCTGGGGGGAGGGGGCGCAGCTGTGAGCCTCCAGCGCGGGGTGAGGGCTCTCCCCAGCCAGGGGTCTCGGGGGGGCACCTGGCCCGAGGACACAGTGCCGAGTGGGCCCCCAGGCTGGCCTGGAGGTACCCTGGGGCCCGAGTGGGCAGCTGGGGGCCGGCTGCCTGGTGGGTCAGCTTGACTCCAAGGGGCCCTGGCTTCTCCTTTCCCAGTCTGGTCCACTCTCCTTTCATTTCCTTCATTGACTTCCTGAGCTCAACCCAGGACTCAGCCTCGGGCTCTTCCAGCCACTGTCCCTTCTGGCCTCAGGGATGAGGCAGAAAAGAGGGGACAGGGCAGTTTGGTGCCAAAGAGAAGGAACTTGCTGACTGACAGGGGCCCCGGTGGCCTTCCTGGAGGTGGTGGCCTGCAAAGGACAGGGCCAGAGAAGCTGAGAAGTGTGTGCCTGGGCAGGAGCCCTGGGGTGCCCTAGGCCCGGACCAGGGTCAGTGTGGGCACACAAGCCATCCGTCATGCCCCAGTGGCACTCTGCTCCAGCCCCCTGCAGCCTGGCGTTCAGGCTGCCCTCTCTCTCTCTCTCCCTCTCCTGCGCTCCCACCCCCACCCCGGGCCCTCCTAGCGCTATCTGGCGGCCCTGGACTCTGACAGCCATGCAGGCTGGCAGTTTAAGCCCATGGATAGTACCCGAACACTGTGGTGGCCGTGCCCTCAGAGTGACAGGTACTGACCCCCAGGTGGCCCGCCCGGCACCGCCTGCCCACCACGCCTCTGTGCCTCATGCTCTCCGCTCATGGCTGCCCCCTCACCAGGGCCGGCCTCGGGGCTCTCTCAGCTTGGCCCCTGCCGGCTAGCTCTGGATCATCATGAGCCTGTAGACTTGTCAGCCCCCAGCCCAGCCAGAACCCTTGTGCTGGCCTTGGGCCCGTGACCCTCCCATCAGGGGCAGGGAGCCCCTTCCCCACTCCTGGCCCAGCTGCAGGCCGTCCCAGTCGGCCTTGTCACCTCCCAGCAAGGAGACCATCTCCGCAGGCCCGAGGGTGCGCCTGCGCCTGGCGCCTAGGCTCGGTGAGCTCGCTCCCTGGGGTGTGACCAGCAGGCCCGGCCCTTGAGGTGTCACCCTGCATGTTCGGAAGTGCACACAGGTGCAGGCAGGCCAGCCGTCCCCCACATCTGCGCGTGCCTGCTTGGGCTCCTTCAGGGGCTGGGGTGCTGCCCCTGCCCCCTGCTGCATGTCCGTGGAATGACACGGCTCCCGGGTGCCACAGTGCCAACCTTCTCCCCGCACCCCAGGAGTTCCAGGAGGGCTGTCAGGGCCTGGGAACAGTGTCCATCCCCATCTGGGGACGGAGGTGTGGGGACTCGGGTGTGGGGTCAGCCTGCCACGCTCCCCATCTCTGGCGACGCTTGGCACACGCCTTGGCCTTTGTCCACAGCCCCTCGTGGCACACGCCTCCTCCATGCGTGTGCCTCGCGAGGATACCCGCACACACGTGTGCACCAAGTGCCTCGTGCTTCAGGTGGGATGAGGGTAGAGAGGATGTGCCGTCCGTGCCCTTCTCCCCAGCTGCCTCCATCCCTGCGTCCCGCAGCCTGGAGGAGCCCACACTTTGTTCCCGACTGAGCAGGCGGCAGCATCCCCCAGCCTGAGGGGCCTGTGCAACTTCTGGGGCCCCCTGTCCCCGGGGTCTGGGGCAGAGTGGCCATGGGGCCTCCTCGTTCCTGGGGCCTGTGGGCCGTCAAGGACCCCCTGACCCTTTCTCGAACCCAGCCTGACTCCGCCTTTGCACGATGCTCTCCTCCTGGCTCCCCGATCAGGATCCCGCGGCGGGAGGAAGCCTCCCCACGTCCCCCGAGCCCAGCCCCTGAGGGCAGCCTGCGTGTGGCCTGTAGGTCCTGGGCACGTGGGGTGCAGCTGGGGAGCCTCCAAATGCTGGCCCTTTGTAGGGCAGAGCTCTGCCTGGCCGGGTGCCTGAGTGCGCTCCCGTCCCCGGAAGAGGCGGCTGGTCCCCATCCTGAGCCTGGGGCGCGGGGGCCGGCCCTCTGCTCACGGAGCCCCTCCGCCAGGGCCCCGCCAACCGCACCACCACCGCCCGTCCTGCCCGCAGGGGTGCTTCCGGCTCACTCGCCAGGGCCCGCGTGGCCGCGCCCGCGCCCCGCTGACCCCCTCCCCCCTTGTCTCCCTCCAGTACACCTCCAGCATGAGAGCCAAATACCTCGCCACCAGCCAGCCTCGCCCCGACTCCAGCGGCAGCGGCCACTAGACAGCCCCGGCCGGCCACCGCCCACGTGCCAATCGCCCTGCCCCTCCCCGTGCCGGCACTGCCGCTCCCACCCGTCACCGCCCGCCGGACCCTCCGCACGCCCGCCAGGCCCGCTGCAGCCACCCTCGCCCCGCCCTCCCCTTCCCGCAGGGGCTCTCCTTGGGTCACGCACCTGGACGCGGGAGCGGTGCCACCGACGGGGCCCCCCAGCCCCCCCACGCCCCTCTGCCTCTGAGGAGGGGGGTCTGCAGAGCCCCGCTGTGGGCCGGAGCCGGCTCGGTGCTGTGTCCCTGACGCTTACTCCGCAGCAGGCCGACCCGTGGACCCGTCTTCTCCGCTCGCGCCCAGCCTGCTCTCTCCCCCCGCAGCTCCCATGGCTCGCCCGCTCCCTCCAGGCTTCCGAGCGTCACTTTTTGCGTTCACAGGCTGGGCGGCGCCCGCCCTGGGCCGGGCAGCTGCGGGGGCCTCGGCTCGTGTGCGCTCACCGCTAGGCTCCTGCGCAGAAAGTTCCCGGGGAGCTCCTCTCAGGCCACCTGCCCACAGGCCCCTCCTGCCGTTGCCAGAAGCCTCCGCCCAGCATCGCTCTCTCCCCCAGCGCCCACCCTGCCCGTGGAGCCCAGCCCTGCACAGCGGCAGGGGGACAGCAGGTGCCGCGCCGAGCCCCGGCTGCTCACCCAGTGCTGGCCGCCTTCTTGGTGCCAAACCCCCTCCCCCGCCCCAAGACTCGGCAGCTCGTCTGGTTCACTTTTGCACTAACCACATTTGTCATCCTAGGGCGGGCGGGGCTGCCGGCCGAGCAGCACACTCCCCTTCTCGGTTCCCTCTCTGTCCAGGACAGGCACACGTCCCGAGCCCGGCCAGGGGCTGGACCTGAGCTGGCTGTGAACGTGCCCTCGGCCCCTGCCGCCCCCTCTTGGGACTAACCACTAACCTCACCCAGCCTCCGCGGGCACCCCTGGCCGACCCAGAGCCAGCAAGTCTCACCCCGAGTCCAGGCCAGAGATGAGGCCTAGGCCGGCCGGCCGGGAATCGGGCCGGAGTAGCCGTTTCTTCTTGGGGTGCTGCTGGGGAAGGACTGTAGACCGACAGGCAGCCTGAGAGCCTGCAGACCCGTCCCCGGGCAGGTGCTGCCCCAGACGACTGTGTCCTCGGGAACGAATGTCCCTTGGGCTGTAGGACTGAGGTCCTTGCGGCCTCAGTCTCCCTACCTGTGAAGTGGGAACAAGGCTTCCCTAAGGTGCTTTGGCTTTAGTGTACAATGTTTGCTGTGTTTCCTGCCGTGGAGGGTGCGCCACCCCCAGATCAGGATGGGAAGGAAGCCCCCTGCCAGTCTCAGCCCTGGCCTGGCCACCCTGCAACAGAGGCGCTGGCCTGTGGGTCAGGCCAGGGGCTGCAGAGCACCAGGCAGCAGCCGTGTGGGAGGGCCCCGGGCCGGGGTCCCGCAGCGGGAGGCGCCCGCCATGTTCGGCATGTGGGCTCTTCCTTCCAGAGCGGGGACAGTGCCCTTCCCTGGGACAGGCCCGGGGAGATGCCGCCCGCCCCTCCTCCATAATCTTTTCTCTATGCTGGTGTCTGGGACCAAATGGGCAGGTGGGCTGGGGGCCAGGCCACATCTGCCCGGCTTCTGGGGTTGCCTCTGTCCCGGGAAAGGAGGGGAGTGAGCAGGCAAATACCGGGGTGCCCCAGGTAGGCCTGGGGCCCTGAGCCTGGCCAAACCTCAGTGCAGGGCCCCGTGTGCTCTAGGGCCCGCCTGGCCGTCGTTCTGGGCCCCCACAGCAGACCTGCCCAGTTTTTCCTCTGGGCCCCTCCAGTGGCAAGAGCGGTCCTGGCCCAGCGTCAGGAGGGAGGCCCCAGCCATCCTGCCCTGGTGCGCGCCGTGCGCTCGGGCCACTGCTCAGAAGCACAAGCAGCCGCCCGCGGCCCTGGGAGGCCGCCCGCAATGTGAATGTACATAGCATGAGAGGCCGGCGCCGCCGGACGCGCTGTGGACCTCGGCTGTCTTGCGAGTTCCCGCCGTGTGGCGTGTGCCCCGTCTGTGACTTCATCGAGCTCCTTCTACTCACCGAGGTTGAATAGAGGAAAAGGAGAGTCATCCAAAGGGGTTCAAACCCCAGCCTCAGTCTGTGGAGGGGAGCAGGTCCTGCCATTGGTTTTCTTTCTGTTCTAAGTTTTCAGGGTCCCCTTCCTAGCCACCCCCCATCCCAGGGCCCTCTCCACATCCCTTCCCGGCCTTGCTCCCCCCAGGCCCTGCAGCATCGGGGAGGGGGGTGCGGCCCTCGACAAAGTGGGTGGCCGGTGGGAGGGAGGAGCCTTGGAACCCCACAGGGTCCAGCTGGCTCCCGGGCCCTGCCAGGCTGGGCCAGCAGGAGGTGGGGTCCAGCCGGGACATCTGGCCCATGGGCTCCCCTGCCATGCCCACCCACCCCATCTCACTATGCAATTCCAGCCCAAGCACCATTCCCTACCTACCCGGGACCCCTGCCCAGCCCCGGGGGGGTGGGTAGCCCCCCTGGGCTCCAGCCGGGGGGCGGGCAGGGGCCGGGGCCTTCTATGTGGGACTTTTTGTTTAACCATAATGGTTGTGCGCTGTACGACTTTGTTATATATAACATATCGCTCAATATAATTTTGTTAAGACTCCCACCCTCCCAGTTCCCCTCCTGACCCTCGCCCCCTCCCCCCGCAGTGTGATTTAGGGCCCTGAGCGGGAAGGGGCTCAAACCACTCAGCATCTTCCTCCGGCACCTTCCTCCAACCTCCGTAGGGCCATGGCTGTCTGTGCTGTCGCTGTGGTTTTTTATTTTTGTTTTTGTTTTTTAACTGGGTTTGGGGTTTGATTTTTATTTCTTTGGGGGCTTTATTTTTCTTGGCAGATAACTAAAAATCTCGTCAATGTAATTTCTGTGGTTTCTACTCAGCTTGGGTTTCATGTTTTAAAATAAACAAATTTTAAAAAACAGGTCTCTTTCTCCGAGTTGATTTGGCTCCTACCCAGTGTGTGGGCAGTGTGGTCGCGTGCTGGGGAGCCAAGAGGGGGGGTGGGGGGCGGCCCAGTTCGCAGCAGGAGGGGGTGGGGGTAGGAGCGGGGAGCCGACCCAGGAGTGGGGGAGTGGGTTGCCGGATGGGCTGGAGCGGTTGTCTTGACATCCTAAAAGCCTCACTTTGCAGGCTGGACATGCCCTGGGGCGGCCCGGGGTGCCTGCGCGGCCACCTGGGGAGGGGCACTTCCTGAGCCCCACTGTGGGGACATCTCCAGTCCCTGGCCTCCCAGGAGTCGTTCCCCCACCCCAGGCGGGATGGTGGGAAAAGGAGGAAAGGAGCCCCGGTGTGCGCCCGGAGGCCAGCAGGGACCCACCTGCCTCCAATCACGCACCCAATTGCCCACCCAAAGCGAAGACACAGGTGTCTCCTCGCCCAGCAAAGCCCAGCCAATGAGAAGCCGCCACTCGGGTCTCCTCCAATGGGCTCCTGTCCAGAGCAGCCCCGCCTCCCCCTCCCGCTGCAGAAGCAGGCTCCGCCCCTCCATGCTCGCGGCGTTTGTGCGTCGAGTGCGGGTGAGGCTCTGAATTGCTGCGCCCCCTCCCAGGGAAGCGCGTCTTGCCCCCGAGATGACTGGCTGCTCTGTTTTGAAGGTTAACAGTCATTCTTGTTCTCATCTGAGAAATGGACTCCGGAAGGTGCCACGTACTGCAGCTCTGGAAGGTTGCTGGTGAGCTCACTTTCCGTGCAGGGGGCTCAGAGCCCCTTGGAACTGGGGGGACGCGCCCTTTGACCAGGAAAGCCTTGGTCTCCCGTGCCTGGGGCGCAGGTGGGCGAGGCACCTGCAAGGCCCTGTGGAAGACCCCAGGCTCTCCGGTGGCATTGCTGTGAGTGTGGGGTGGGCAGGGGAGCGCTGGGGTCCCCCAGTCCCCGATTTGACCCGCCGGGGGGGAGGGGAAGGGGGTCCAGAACTGGTCAGCTCTGAAGAGGGGTGGACACATTGGAAGCTTCTGAGGTGCCGTGTGGTAAGGAGAGTGAACTGGAGACTTGGGACCAAGGAACACAAAAGGCAGGAGAGTCCAGGCACTTCCCGCCCCTCTTGGACCTCAGTCTCCCTGTATGTCAGGGAGGGCACAGTGACATCCTGGTTCTCGAAGCAGCCACATTCCGTGGTTCACAGCCCCTCCATCTTGTAAGCCGGCAGTGGAGCACCTTTGGGTACCTCGGTCTGACCCTGACCCTCCTGCCTCCCTCTCCCAAGGACCTCTGTGATTGCATTGGACCCACCTGGATAGTTCAGGATAATCTCCCCATCTCGAGGTTCTTAATCTGCTCACATCTACGAAGTTCCCTTTGCCATGAAGGTAACCTATTCATCGGTTAGGGAGATGAAGATGTGGACATCTCTGGGGGCTACTCTTCTGCCCCACAGGGTAAGCTGGTCTTGAGGATATCTGGGCAGAGAGAACAGCCAGTGCAAAGGTCCTGAGGTGTGTTCACGCAAGGAAGCGAGGGTCACTGGAATGGAGAGCAGAGGAAGGGTGGTCCGAGAGGAAGCAGAGGTGTGAGGATCTCAAAGGGCCTGTGGGTCTCATAAGGCCCTGGAGACTGGCTCTGCGGAGGGGAAGCCATGGAGCATCTGAGCGGACCGACACCACCTCACGTTCGTTTTAACAGTATGGGCCGAGCTGGCGAGTTGGGAAGGGAGCCAGGGCAGAAGCAGGAGAGCAGAGAGGAAGCTTTGGCCACGGTGCAGGCCAGAGCTGAGGGCAGCCCGGGCGGGGTGCTGGCCAGCCAAGCAGTGGTGAGAAAGCCCTGGGTTCTGGAAGGAACGCCAGCAACACTTTCTGGCACACTGTGGGGGTGGGTGTGAGGTTTGGGTGGAGCTGTGGCAGGTGGGGGTCTGTGGTGTCATAAACGGAGATGGGCAGCTGGGGAGGAAGCAGGTTTGCGATCGAGGGGTCAGTGGTCCACTTTTGGACATGTTGAGCCTAAGATGTCTATTGGGTCCCCCCGGGGAGGTATGGAGAGCAGGGGGGGTCAGGGGAGAGCACTGGGCGGCGACGGCCAGCTGGAATGTTTGTCTTGGGTACAGTGTTGAAAGCCACGAGCCAGGGTGACGTCCCGCAGGGAGTGGGTGCCAAAGAGGAGACAGCAGAGCCCATGTTTGGGGTAGGGAGTAGGGAGGAGCGACCAGCGAGGCAGGAGGAGTCCAGGACAGGGGGCATCCTGAGAGCTGCACGAAGACAGTGTGGAGGAGAGACAAGGGACCGTGTCACGTGCTGCCGATCGCCAGGTTCCACGAGTGCAGGCAGTGACCCGTGTGCTCAGCCACCTGGACACCGCTGGAGTCTTGGACAAGGGCAGCTGTGATGAAGCCTGATGGCTGGCTCGGGAGAGCCTGGGGGAGGCCGCGGGCATAGCTCGTCGGTGGAGTGGCCTTCCTGAGTCACCAAGAAGGGTGGGACCCAAGTCCATAGACAGGAGTGTGGCCCCCCTGCTGGCCTGGTGGTCAGAGCATTTGGGCAGTGGGGGGGCGCTGGGGGGGTCTCATGAAGTAGGGAGGCCAGAGGAAGTGGGGGGCTGGGGGCAAAGAAGGTACAGCACCCCCCCCACCCTGGGGCTGTGGGAGAGCCAGAGAGGAGGGACAGAGCGGGGACAGGAGATCCCCCAAGGGCCCGAGGCTCCATCTGGAACTCAGGGTGAGACTCCCCAGAGGGCAGTGTTTCCCTGCAGCTGACCAGGTGCGGAGGGTGGGCGCAGGAGGTCAGACACCAGAGGCTTGGCTGAGAGAGGACGTGGAAGCAAGAGGCCAAGGGAGGTGAAGGTGAGTTCACGGGCCTGAGTGGACCTGGGACTTCAAGCAGGGGAGGACGAGCCCATGAGGTGTGAGGGGGCTGGGGGTCCAGCAGGGTCAGGAAATGGGAGGGAGGGAGCTGGACAGACAAGAGGTGGAGGCAGAGTGGGGTCGCAGGGCAGGCAAGGTCTGGGGAGTGACGCAGGAATGGACGCAGGAGCAGGGTGGGAGAGAGAGCCTGTGTGAGCCAGGAGCCAACATTTTCCGGAAGGAGGGGCCTGCGGATCCCCACAGTGGGCAGCAGGCGTGGCGATCCCACCACCGGGAGGCCAGGAACGAGGAGGGTCTGTCAGTGGTGGAAAGAGCGTCTCTCCAGGAGTGAGGCAGGCACGTCCAGCAGGGGGCGCCAGGCGCCCAGAGGACGGGAGGCTGCAGGGGGACCCGTCCAGGAGCTCAGGACATTCTGCATTCCCTGCCAGTCCCCGTGACCGCGGCACGGCCGGTCTGGGGCTCACCGTGGCTCTGCTGAGGGGACGACCCAAAGATCCCGCAGGACGGGCCACGAGGACATGCAGCAACCAGCCCCCCTCAGAGCCAGGGCGTGGGCCGGCGGCCGGGGTGGCCGGCTGGAGCTTGCCTCTTGGCCAACCACATACTGGTAAGAACTTTCAGGTTCGTGATGTGACCTTCGAAGGGCAAGGGGCGTGCCCCGGGGTGCTGGGGGTTCCTGGGGAAGGTGGGTTTGGGCAGGGGGAGAAACCACCAGCTCTCACCACCAGCTGGTACCCGAGGACTGAGGTGGATTGCACCCTGAGTCAGGGGGTCCCAGAAGCCTGCCCGGAGCCAGTAGGGGGCACGTGGGGGGGGGGCAGCACAGCTCTCAGCCCTAACTCAGTACGCTAACATAACCTCGACCACCGCGAGGGGGCTCAGACAGGACCCCCCCCCCCGCCCCAGGCCCCTGGGTTCCTCCTAGTGATGGACCAAGTGCTGGGCTCAGAAAGGGCTTGGGAAGCGGGGGTCACCTCCAAGAACGTTCGGCCAGGCCAGGGCTAGGGTGGGCAGCAGCCGGATGGGCCAGTTGGTCTGACAGAAAGATGGGGCTGGCTCTGGTCATCCCCCGACCCCCAGCCCAGGCCTAGAAGGGGCAGGACTGGCTGAAGCCCCCAGCCAGGGAAGGGAGCCTTATGGCAACCCAGTCCGCTGCTGTCCTCCCTCCCAGCCTTCCAGGCATCCTGAGTAGTTCCCCCTCCGCACCCCTGCCGGGCTGTGCCGAGACCCAGATGGCCGCCTCTCCCACCCCACCTCTGGAAAGCCCTCCTTTCCAACACGGCTCAGATGCAGCTCTGGGGCCAGTGGGCTGGGATGGCCCCAGGTGAAGGGAAGTGTGTTTAAACTGAGCAGGGAAGGGCCCCACCTGCACCCCTTGGCCCCTCCCGGACCTGGACCACGGAAGCCGAGGGGGTGGAGGGGCACCCAGCAGCCCCCATGGTTGCAGTGTTATCTTGAAAGCCCACAAATGATGGGCAGTTTTGGGGGGGGAGCATGGCACCCCTCAGCCCTGCCCTGGGGGAGAGCGAGGTCAACGCTTCTGCTGTGTGACTCATCTTGGGGGAGGGCCCCTTCCTCACACCCCTGAGGGCAGCAGATGGGAGAAATCTGCCCCTGCTGGACCTGCTTCCCCTTCTGAGGAGGAACCATCCTCCCTCCCTCCGTCCCTCCCCTCTCCGTCCCTCCCCCACCCAGCTTTTCCTTGAGAAGAGGGAAGGGCCCCAGGGCTTGAGCCCCGCCCCCCCATGCCTCCCAGACCCAGAGCCCTGAGGACTCATTTATCCCTGTTCTCAGATGAAGGCCTCAGCTCCCAGGGCCTCCTCCCCACACTGGACGGTTTGGACCAGCTGTGACGACCAGGTGACCAGGTACGTCCCCAACTCTGGGGCAGGCTCCACCTGTCCCCACGAGGGCTGCAGGGCCACGCCTGTGTTCCGGGGCCCCACCAGCTCTGCGGGGAGGCTCCTGCCAGTGGCTGGGCCCTGGGTCGACACTCGGGCCAGGGCAGGGGACTCCTCTGACTCCCCCCAGGGTGGGGGGCAGGAAGGAGGCCCTTGGTGTCTGCGCACAGGTGGTTGCCCCCCAAAACCTGAGCAGCCCCCTTTCCTCAGCATGTCTGCAAGAGTGCCCTCCGGACACGGATCAGGCTGTGATGCTGAGGTCCCCCCAACCCCCCCGCAGTCACTGCCTACACCCCCGGGACACCTGCCCCTCCAGCCCTTCTGCAAACCCCACTCCACTGACTTAGGGCTACACAAGGCCAAGGTGCGGTCAGGCCCTGGCCAGTTGCCCCCAGGCCCAAGGAGCCTCCAGCAAGCCTTATGAGGAAGTGGGGGGGCCTCCCGGGCTACACGCTGCACGTGGGGGTGCTGAGTATGTGAGCACGGGGCTACTGGGATGGGACTGGCATCGGCAGGTCAGGGGTGGGGACAGGAGGCGCTTTGCAAACACTTGTCTTTATTCTGACATGTTGAGAAGGTTGACCGTGGAGCAGAGCGGCCAACATGGAGGTCCCAGGGGACTTGGCGCCCAGGGGGGTGCTGCGGGGGCTCCGTGTGAGGACGAGGGAATGCCGGCTGCCCCCCCACCCTGCCAAGGCTGCATGTGAGGAAGAGCGAGCAGCAGGGAGTGGGCAGAAAACAAGGTCGGTGTGAATCCTCGTCCAGCCTCCATCCAGCTGGCCTGGGGGCCCAGCTCCGGGACCAGTCCAGGCATGGAGCCCCTTCACAGAGGCGAGGTCGAGTGTGGGGTCCCCAGCACAAGGGGAGGCCAGGATCCAATACCACCAGGCCTCTGAGTTTGAGCTCTTTACCACCCCCGCCAGCTCAGTTGCCTGACCTTGGCTGTCACTGGCTCTGAGCCTTAGTTTGCCATCTGCAAAATGGGACAAGAATATGGCCTCTTGTGAGTTTGTGATGGGGATGAAGCCAGATAAGGAGGTCCCAGGCTGGGCCCCCATGAGCCCCCTCCCTCCTCCGGGGAAGGCTAGGCCCACACAGGCTGGAGCTACAGAGCCTATGGGCTGCTCCTCTGGGTGAAACCTGCCAATCCAGCTACCCCCCCCTCCCCGCCCCGACCACTTCCACGGTGCCCTGGGCTGGCTGCGCCTCTCAGGCACCTGCAAGTGGCTCTTGGGAGTCCCTTCTATCCATCTCCCCCACAGGAGCTCGAACAAGCCCCCAGGCCCCCTGGAGCCCCTCCGACAGACCTGTGACAGACCTGTGTCTCTGGCCCAACTTCCAGCAAGACCAGGACCCCCCGGGTTGCCCCAAAGAGCACCTTTATTCACAGCAAAGGACGTCACCATAGCAACCACACTTCAATTCCCTGAGAACTTTTCCATTATCGTTCACTTTCCTAGCTATGTCTTTGCAGAAAGAAAAACAGAAGACAGAACACACCCCACGGGCCTGCGGGAGATGGGCACCGTGCAGGACGGGGCGCGGGCAGTCCGGAGGCCGGGACATATAAATACACGGAGTGGCGGACATTTCCCTCCATTTAAACAACAAAGATTATCTCAAGTTTGGCTTCTGCTTTTTCTGATCCACAGAAAAGATAAACCCACCCCCCCCCAAAAAAACAAAAACACCCTACCTTTTACCCACCCCCTTGCGAAAAACAAGCACAGTAAAAAAATACTGTCACAAATATTTACAGGCACGCCCACTATGGGCGACGTTCTCTCGACCTCGGAGAGGAGATAAAATGCTCAGCTGTCTCTCCATCACGGGGAGACAAAGAGACGGCGGTGAGGGAGGGTTGGGAGGTGAGCCCGTTTCCCTAGCCACACGGCCACTAGGGGCTTCCGGGGTGGGGGCTGGACCCGGTGGGGGTGCTGGCTGCTAGTTCTCTAAGTCCAGAGCTCAGCGGGAGAAGGGGGCTCGGGTTTCCTCCCAAACCCAGCTTCCTTGCACTGAGCCTGGCTCGGCTGTGCTGGGGGCGCTGGGGGCGCTGGGGGCTCTGAGGCCCCCCCAGCACAGGGCCTGCACCCGACAGGGAGGGAAAGGCACCTGCATATCCCTGCAGAGCAGCCCCTGATCCCCACGCTGCCGAAAGACCCCACAGTAATAAGAAAACTGCCCTCAGAGTGACCTCTGATGCACATCCTCTGGGATGGGGCTCTGGAGCCCGCGGCCCCACGGGGCAGACAAGTGGCCCTTGTGCTTGCTTCTCGGCAGAACAGAACTGCCCAGCAGCCTGCTCCATGGACGGGCACGCGGTGCGCGTGCACACACACGTAGGCACAGCCCTGGGGGAGCCTCGAATGCCAAGGCCAGGGCGGCACAACACAGATCCCCGGGCCCTTTGGATACCAGGGGCGCCCGAGGACGGGGTCTCAACCACGGCTGCTAGAAGACGGCGCTGTGGGGACACCACGGTGTGTCCGGGTACAGGTGGCAGTGGATGGAGCGGAACCTGTGGGGACAGAGTAGGGGCAGGTCTGTTGGGGGGGAGAGGGTGCTGAGCACCCATCTTCAGACCCACAGCAGCAGAGGGGCCCTGGTCCACCCTGAGCAAGGCTCCTGGGGGTCTGTAGTCCTGCTGCTTCAGTGTACCAGCCCCAGCAGACCCCCCCAGGGCACCCCTCCAGCCCCAGCAGACCCCCCCAGGGCACCCCTCCAGCCCCAGCAGACCCCCCCAGGGCACCCCTCCAGCCCCAGCAGAACCCCCCAGGGCACCCCTCCAGCCCCAGCAGACCCCCCCAGGGCACCCCTCCAGCCCCAGCAGACCCCCCCAGGGCACCCCTCCAGCCCCAGCAGACCCCCCACAGGGCACCCCTCCAGCCCCAGCAGACCCCCCCAGGGCACCCCTCCAGCCCCAGCAGAACCCCCCAGGGCACCCCTCCAGCCCCAGCAGACCCCCCCCAGGGCACCCCTCCAGCCCCAGCAGACCCCCCACAGGGCACCCCTCCAGCCCCAGCAGAACCCCCCAGGGCACCCCTCCAGCCCCAGCAGACCCCCCCAGGGCACCCCTCCAGCCCCAGCAGACCCCCCACAGGGCACCCCTCCAGCCCCAGCAGACCCCCCACAGGGCACCCCTCCAGCCCCAGCAGACCCCCCCAGGGCACCCCTCCAGCCCCAGCAGACCCCCCCAGGGCACCCCTCCAGCCCCAGCAGACCCCCCCAGGGCACCCCTCCAGCCCCAGCAGAACCCCCCAGGGCACCCCTCCAGCCCCAGCAGACCCCCCCAGGGCACCCCTCCAGCCCCAGCAGAACCCCCCAGGGCACCCCTCCAGCCCCAGCAGACCCCCCCAGGGCACCCCTCCAGCCCCAGCAGACCCCCCACAGGGCACCCCTCCAGCCCCAGCAGACCCCCCCAGGGCACCCCTCCAGCCCCAGCAGAACCCCCCAGGGCACCCCTCCAGCCCCAGCAGAACCCCCCAGGGCACCCCTCCAGCCCCAGCAGAACCCCCCAGGGCACCCCTCCAGCCCCAGCAGAACCCCCCAGACAACCCCTCCAGCCCCAGCAGAACCCCCCAGACAACCCCTCCAGCCCCAGCAGACCCCCCCAGGGCACCCCTCCAGCCCCAGCAGACCCCCCCAGGGCACCCCTCCAGCCCCAGCAGACCCCCCACAGGGCACCCCTCCAGCCCCAGCAGAACCCCCCAGGGCACCCCTCCAGCCCCAGCAGAACCCCCCAGGGCACCCCTCCAGCCCCAGCAGAACCCCCCAGGGCACCCCTCCAGCCCCAGCAGAACCCCCCAGGGCACCCCTCCAGCCCCAGCAGAACCCCCCAGGGCACCCCTCCAGCCCCAGCAGAACCCCCCAGGGCACCCCTCCAGCCCCAGCAGAACCCCCCAGGGCACCCCTCCAGCCCCAGCAGAACCCCCCAGACAACCCCTCCAGCCCCAGCAGAACCCCCCAGACAACCCCTCCAGCCCCAGCAGAACCCCCCAGACAACCCCTCCAGCCCCAGCAGAACCCCCCAGACAACCCCTCCAGCCCCAGCAGAACCCCCCAGACAACCCCTCCAGCCCCAGCAGAACCCCCCAGGGCACCCCTCCAGCCCCAGCAGACCCCCCCAGGGCACCCCTCCAGCCCCAGCAGAACCCCCCCCAGGGCACCCCTCCAGCCCCAGCAGAACCCCCCCAGGGCACCCCTCCAGCCCCAGCAGAACCCCCCAGGGCACCCCTCCAGCCCCAGCAGAACCCCCCAGGGCACCCCTCCAGCCCCAGCAGAACCCCCCCAGACAACCCCTCCAGCCCCAGCAGAACCCCCCCGGACAACCCCTCCAGCCCCAGCAGCCCCCCCCCGGACAACCCCTCCAGCCCCAGCAGCCCCCCCCAGACAACCCCTCCAGCCCCAGCAGCCCCCCCCCAGACAACCCCTCCAGCCCCAGCAGCCCCCCCCCAGACAACCCCTCCAGCCCCAGCAGAACCCCCCAGGGCACCCCTCCAGCCCCAGCAGAACCCCCCAGGGCACCCCTCCAGCCCCAGCAGAACCCCCCAGGGCACCCCTCCAGCCCCAGCAGAACCCCCCAGGGCAGACAACCCCTCCAGCCCCAGCAGAACCCCCCAGACAACCCCTCCAGCCCCAGCAGAACCCCCCAGACAACCCCTCCAGCCCCAGCAGACCCCCCCAGGGCACCCCTCCAGCCCCAGCAGACCCCCCCAGGGCACCCCTCCAGCCCCAGCAGAACCCCCACAGGGCACCCCTCCAGCCCCAGCAGAACCCCCCCAGACAACCCCTCCAGCCCCAGCAGCCCCCCCCAGACAACCCCTCCAGCCCCAGCAGCCCCCCCCAGACAACCCCTCCAGCCCCAGCAGCCCCCCCCAGACAACCCCTCCAGCCCCAGCAGCCCCCCCCCCAGACAACCCCTCCAGCCCCAGCAGCCCCCCCCAGACAACCCCTCCAGCCCCAGCAGC